AACTCCTTCAAATAAATGGTAGTAAAGATAGTTCGTCGTATGTTATCAATCGTATGAATTTAATACAGTTTTAGAAGTTGAAGACATGTGGGTTTTATAGTTGGGCCGAGTTCTGCTAAACCCAGTTTGAAGTTGCACTTGTGGCTTGGAATGCAGCCGTTGTATCAAGACGTGAAAATCTGTGATTTGGCGTTGTAAACGGAGCGAGAACAATGACTAAATTATTCATATATTGCAATTACTCAATTCTTTTCAATGATCTATTGTATTGGTAGCCGTTGCCGTCGCGTTGCCGTCCTAAAATCGTAATGTCTCTAATTTTCGCTGCCATTTCTCGACAACTCTAGGGAGCCACCTTAATAAAATTACGCACAAAAAGCAACTGCAGTGTCAGTGAAAAAGAGCAAGTATAATTTAGGGGTCTGGTGGAACTAATATACGTGAAATTGTCTGAAACTTTGTTACATCATAAAACACTTTGCAAGATTGCGCTCAATGAATCGAAATTGTGTTTCAGAGTTAAACTTCCATTTTTGTGCGCAAACCGCTTTTAATGTGTTTTTTTTAATACAGACTTCCTGAACGAAGATGTTAAAAATTTCAGATTAATTACAATATCAGGGAAATTAGTAGACTCTAACCTAATATATTAATATTTACATAACATTTTCAGAAATTTGGCGCATTTCCCCGTTTGGTGGCCATTTTACAGTTGTGTATTGTCAAAATCTATCGAGTTAATTCGAAAATATTTTCAGTTATAGAATTGCGCAGTGAGCATTTTTGCCTTCGTAATTGACCTACCTGGTATGAAACTTTTCTGCTGTCTGCGAAATTTGGTAAAAGATGCTGTTTTCGCAGAAGAAAAAAATTGCTAAATCCAAAGATGGTTTGGATTAGAGGTGTGCATAGGATCTGATTGGACGTTTGTAATCCAAGAATTGGCTAATGTTTAAAATCCAATCCGATACGATCCGAAATTGTCTAATTGGAATCCGATTCGATCCGAGTTTTGATAAAGAATTCCGATCCAAAGAATCCTTTACTAAAATAAATTTCTCATTCACGTCGAATTATTTAACCAAATAAATATAAAAGCAAGAAATACATGTCAAGAAGCTGACAGAGTGCATGATTCAGTTCATGATTCTGGATAATTAATCCATTTTATTTCGAATATCAAAGTCCAATCCACTACGAAACAACTTTATCAATCCGATCCAATCCGAAATGAATATTTTTGTTCCGAAATCTAATCGAGTTTGGAACATGTCAAAGATTACAAATAAAAAATAAAATAAAAAATATACCAATAGTACATGTACCTGGTGTGGTGGGTGTTGTACCAGCTGTAGTACCAATCTCTGTCGTGGTTGGCGATATACAAACTATGGTATCAATCACTCTTGTGGTCGTTGGTATACAAACTGTACTGCCAATCACTCTTGTGATAGTCTGCATACAATCTGTTGGATTATTTTCTCTTGTACTTGTTGGTATACTTACTGCAGTACTACTCATTATTGTGGACGGTGTTATACCATCTGTGCCAGTAATCACTATTGTGGTCGGTGTTATACTATCTGTGGCAGTACTCACTGTTGTGGATGGTGTTATACTATTTGTGATAGTAATCACTGTTGTGGACGGTGTTATACTATCTGTGGTAGGAATCACTGTTGTGGACGGTGTTACACTATCTGTGGTAGGAATCACTGTTGTGATCGGTGTTATAGTATCTATGGTAGGAATCACTGTTGTGGACGGTGTTATACTATTTGTGGTAGTAATCACTGTTGTGGACGGTGTTATACTATCTGTAGTAGGAATCACTGTCGTGGACGGTGTCATACTATCTGTGGTAGGAATCACTGTTGTGATCGGTGTTATAGTATCTATGATAGGAATCACTGTTGTGGATTGTGTTATACTATTTGTGGTAGTAATCATTGCTGTGGACGGTGTTATACTATCTGTGGTAGGACTCACTGCTGCGGACGGTGTTATACTATATGTGGTAGGAATCACTGTTGTGATCGGTGATATAGTATCTATGGTAGGAATCGCTGTTGTGGACGGTGTTATACTATGTGTGGTAGGAATCACTGTTGTGGACGGTGTTATACTATCTGTGGCAGTAATCATTGTTGTGGACGGTGTTATACTATCTGTGGTGGTGATATAGTATCTATGGTAGGAATCGCTGTTGTGGACGGTGTTATACTATGTGTGGTAGGAATCACTGTTGTGGACGGTGTTATACTATCTGTGGCAGTAATCATTGTTGTGGACGGTGTTATACTATCTGTGGTGGGAATCACTGTTGTGGACGGTGTTATCCTATCTGTGGTAGGAATCACTGTTGTGGACGGTGTTATACTATCTGTGGTGGGAATCACTGTTGTGATCGGTGTTATAGTATCTATGGTAGGAATCACTGTTGTGGACGGTGTTATACTATGTGTGGTAGGAATCACTGTTGTGGACGGTGTTATCCTATCTGTGGTAGGAATCACTGTTGTGGACGGTGTTATACTATCTGTGGTAGGAATCACTGTTGTGGACGCTGTTATCCTATCTGTGGTAGGAATCACTGTTGTGGACGGTGTTATACTATCTGTGGTAGGAATCACTGTTGTGGACGGTGTTATACTATCTGTAGTAGGAATCACTGTTGTGATCGGTGTTATAGTATCTATGGTAGGAATCACTGTTGTGGATTGTGTTATACTATTTGTGGTAGTAATCACTGCTGTGAACGGTGTTATACTATGTGTGGTAGGACTCACTGCTGTGGACGGTGTTGTACTATCTGTGGTAGGAATCACTGTTGTGGACGGTGTTATACTATGTGTGGTAGGACTCACTGCTGTGGACGGTGTTATACTATCTGTGGTAGTAATCACTGTTGTGGACGGTGTTATGCTATCTGTGGTAGTAATCACTGTTGTGGACGGTGTTATACTATCTGCGGTAGTAATCACTGTTGTGGACGGTGTTATGCTATCTGTGGCAGTAATCAGTGTTGTGGTCGGTGTTATACTATCTGTGGTAGGAATAACTGTTGTGGTCGGTGTTATACTCTCTGTGGCAGTAATTATTGTTGTGGACGGTGTTATTTTATTTGTGGTAGTACTCATTGTTGTGGTTGGTGTTATATTATCAGTGGCAGTAGTCATTGTTGTGGACAGTGTTATACTATCTGTGGCAGTAATCAGTGTTGTGGACAGTGTCATACCAACTGTAGTATTAATAATTCTTGTGGACGGTGATATACAAACTGTGGCATCAATCACTGTTGTGGTCGTTGGTATACAAACCGTACTGTCTATCACTCTTGTGATCGTCTGCATGCAAATTTTTCGAATATTTTCTCTTGTACTTGTTGGTGTAATCACTGTAGTACTAGTGATTGTTGTGGACGGTGTTATACCAACTGTAGTATCAATAACTGTTGTGGACGGTGCCATACCAGCTGTAGTATCAATCACTGTTCTGGTCGGTGTTATAACAACTATAGTGAATCATAATAACAGGTGAGTTATACGCTTTTGCTATAATATGATAGATTTAAATATGTTACATCGGTGAAGTTTCCAGGGATATTCGTACATACAGCCTGTAAGTGACAGGGACTTGTCAGACATTCGTTGATATCTGCACAAAGTGTTTCAGAAACCTCGTATTCATTAATGACGAATTTTCGACTTTTAAATATTAATTCCGTTGAGTTCCTTTTTAAACGAAATGCGCAAATTATTCCTTCCTTTCTCGGCCTTTGCGATAACACAATTGATTTAAATATTTTATATGGCTGATGTACTATAGATATATTTTACTAAACGAAGTTGATGCCACTCGTATAAGCGAAAATATTTTCTTATTTTAAAAAAGATTTTCTCAACATAAGTAATAGCTGTTATCGTAATTGAATACGCCGCTGCGGCATACCAGCGGTATCTCAGTGGAAGTACGCACGAAAACGAGGCTAAAGGGTGAAAAAACACAAAACATGACCCTATAGCCTCGTCTCGATGTTAAAATAATGCAGATACCGCTGGTCCGTAGCATAGACGTGTTCAATTACGATAACAGCTATTACTTATGTTGAGAAAATGTTTTTTAACAAAATTCCGTAAGAAAAATACAAAATTCACAACTCATAATATTTAATTTTTTCAACATGGGAATATGAAAAAAGGCTTTTTTTAAACCACAAATGTACTGTTCGTATGAAACTGGTGCGTTATTTGTCCATCAAAAGGAGAGATAGTGCTGGTTTTATGTGAAAGAAAATTATTTTACTTACCAACGCACTTAAATCCATTTCCACACCACGTGTAGTACGCACATGTGTATGATCCTGCAGTGTTTGTGCACGTGGCTTGAGCATAACAGCTGTCGATGTTCAGGGCACATTCATCTATATCTGAAGATGAAGATAGTGGTTATGTGTCAAAATTTAAAAATATTGTATTAATGATTGATTATATTAACGAATGAACTTAATTTAACCCCGTTGAACGAGAATGAGGGGTGATGAGAATTGGAAGTCCCGAATTGTTACAGAGGTTTTACTTTAAAAAAATACATGACAGTTTTTGCAAAATGTCAACAACTGTTAACCAATGTCGCATGACTGACAACTCTCGTGCACTAGCTGTCATCGTCGTTTGATCCGGGATTTAGTTTTACAGTTGAGCAAAGCTAAGTAGAAAGTTTGTATGTATGTATGTATGGAAATATATATAAGACAAAATAGTTTAAGGAACAGACATCTAACTCAAAACCGAAGTGGCCCGGCCTGCATTTCATGTTAATAATACCGTTCTATTTTTTCATTCTATTTTTTTGTTATTCCCTCGATGTACACCCTCCTCAGACAACGTAGACTGAGGTGGTTGGGTCATGTCCGCCGAATGGATGATGGCCGAATCCCTAAAGACATTTTGCATGGGGGGCTAGAACTTGGATCGAGGCCTGTTGCCAGACCTAAATATCCAATGGACATTCGATATGTCCAATGGACATTTGAGCTGTCCATTGGATCCAATGGACAGTCATATGTCCAAAGGACATTTCATATGTCCATTGGACTTTTGCGTTAGTATTGGACATGTATGAGCAAACCCAGGCTCCGAACCACGCGTTCACGGTTTACTTCACGTTTACATGTTGACGAGTTAAAATGTATTGCTGAAAATATATTAGAAATGAACGTCTCGAGGTTTTGATGGTGCGTGTAACACGTTGCCATCGACATTGGCAAAACTGATTCATAACTCGCAATATTTCTCTAGGTGGGTTTGGAGCGTTCCCAAATGAATTTCTGTTAATTTATACTCACAAGTACGCCTACGAACTGCATTTGTTTCTCTCAGTTGTGAGGCTTACACAAAGTATATGCTATTGATTCAAATTCGTTATTATTATTTTGCTATCTTTTTAGTAGTTATTTCAATTGGTGTCAAGTAGATATTCATAAACTATATCTACACATTCTCATAGTTTTTGATCATGAAATGGTCGACCAACATGTCATTTGGAAAAATTTACAACTACATCAGTACATCTTACGGAGTTACGGGTTTAAGTAATGTCTTCCACATAAAAAAACAAAAGCCACTCTCAATATCTAACCTACACAAGTATCTCCAGTAAAGCCCACATTACATGCACAAGTAAACGAGCCGATAGTGTTCGTGCAAGTAGCATTCGTGTGGCAATTATCTGTATTGAGCGCACACTCGTCAATGTCTCAAATAAAAATAAACTACACTCAAATTATTGAAGTTAACTGTTGGTCAATAATTCTGTGTTTGAATAATTAGGGCATATAGGCTTAGTACAAAAAGATTATTTTAATAACTACGTTTCGGAGTATAACTCCATCTTCAGGTTAAAAAGTAACTAAAGATATAAAACTTTAAAAACAATTAATTTAAATTAATTTAATTAGTTTAATTATTCAAACACACAATTACTAAAATGCCGCTTAGAGAAAGTTCCGTCATACAAGATTTGTTGGTCACTAGTTATATTATGCACTAATTAGTTATAATTAAAATATTTAATTTGAATTATAGAGAAGGAGTTAATTAAGACGTGCGATAAAAGCAATCATAGCTAATTTAGCGTCACGGTAGATCTAGTTTGTGTCGAATTACATGGTAGATTTTCGTTCTTGATCCGAGATTTCCAGATGCCCCTACCCCAGAAATATTTAAACATATCCTATATACAACATCAGTACCAAGCTGTGCAACTGAAATGTTGATGATTTAAAGCCAATAAAGAGACAGCATTATGGGCCGTTATGGTAAACTTGTAACAGATTTTCATTAAAACTTATTGACTGGGACTGAGGGAAACAGTTTGTTTTGTGTACCCGAGACTGTGAATGTTTCCCGAGGCGAATAAGTATTTTATTATACGCCAAGTATCAAAGAAAACTTAAAAATAAACCGGAAACTTCCAAAATTTTAGGTTATAACTCGTCGATGTTACTATCGCGACAGGTGAATTAAAGTAATGTAATGTCCACCGCTCAGAGCTGTTGCGAGGAGTAAAATTTTATCACTTATGTGAAAGAAAATTATTTTACTTACCAACGCAATTAGTTCCATTTCCACTCCAACCTGTGTTACATGCACATGTGTATGATCCTGCAGTGTTTGTGCACGTGGCTTGAGCATGACAGCTGTCGATGTTCAGGGCACATTCATCTATATCTGAAGATGAAGATAGTGGTTATGTGTCAAAATTTAAAATTATTGTATTAATGATTGATTATCTTAACGAATGAACTTAATTTAACCCCGTTGAACGAGAATGAGAGGTGATGAGAATTGGAAGTCACGAATTGTTACAGGGTTTTAACTTTAAAAAAATACATGACAGTTTTTGCTAAGTGTCAACAACAGCTAACCAATGTCGCATGACTGTCAACTCTCATGCACTGTCATCTTCGTTTGATCCAGGATTTAGTTTTACAAGACAGGATATGCAAAATGCAAAGATGGTTTGGAACGCGTCAAAGATTATGGATAAAAAATAAAATAAAAAATATACCAATAGTACATGTACCTGTTGTGGATGGTGTTGTACCACCTGTAGTACTAATCTTTGTTGTGGACGGTGTTATACTAGCTGTAGTACTAATCTCTGTTGTGGACGGTGTTGGACCACCTGTAGTACTAATCTCTGTCGTGGACGGTGTTGGACCACCTGTAGTACTAATCTCTGTTGTGGACGGTGTTGGACCACCTGTAGTACTAATGTCTGTTGTGGACGGTGTTGGACCACCTGTAGTACTAATCTCTGTTGTGGATGGTGTTGGACCACCTGTAGTACTAATCTCTGTTGTTGACGGTGTTGGACCACCTGTAGTACTAATCTCTGTTGTGGACGGTGTTGGACCACCTGTAGTACTAATCTCTGTTGTGGACGGTGTTGGACCACCTGTAGTACTAATCTCTGTTGTGGACGGTGTTGGACCACCTGTAGTACTAATCTCTGTTGTGGACGGTGTTGGACCACCTGTAGTACTAATCTTTGTTGTGGACGGTGTTGGACCACCTGTAGTACTAATCTCTGTTGTGGACGGTGTTGGACCACCTGTAGTATTAATCATTTTTGTGGACGGTGTTATACCAGCTGTGGTATTAATCATTGTTGTGGACGGTGTTATACCAGCTGTAGTATTAATCATTGTTGTGGACGGTGTTATACCAACTCTGGTGCTATTCTCTGTTGTGAACGGTGTTATACCAGCTGTAGTATTAATTATTGTTGTGGACGGTGTTATACCAGCTGTAGTATCAATCTCTGTTGTGGACGGTGTTATACCAACTGTAGTATCAATCTCGGTCGTGGACGTTGTTGTACCAACTGTAGTAAGAAAGCTTATTATATTTTAATTCAATTAAGCGCCTTAGAAAAAACAGAGATGTGCAAGGACGAGAAAGGATATTGACAAAGTGGAGAGTTGAAGCGTTTTTACATGTTTTTGGCGTAGCCACCACGGCTTGTTGGGCGTTTGAAAGGAATGTTAGGCTACTGCTATAAGGATTTTAATTTAACTTTAACGTGTGTGCGTTGTAGTTTAGCTTAGTGTATCAAGAAACAACAATTATTGTTATTTAAGATTTTTTTATGATTTGGCCGATCTCTTATCCATGTAACATTCTATATATTTTAGAGCATTCTAAATCGAAAAACGTAAGAATACAACATTCGTCCTCTATTAAACCTCCGTTAGTCAGTCATTACTGATGACTCATTAGTGAGCTTAAGCAAGTGACGTTTTTGACAACACGGACGTCGACCGGAAGTAAAGTTGACGTTTTTCACCAATCACAGCCCTTGACCCAGTCTTCTGACGTAACTCATGCCGTTCGTGTTGTCAAAAACGTCACTTGCTTAAGCTCACTAATACTGTATTAGCCTTCTTGCGAGGTTTCCACTCCATTTGCTTGCAATATAAAAACTATAACTTATATCACAAGAAAATGAATATTTTTCATTTGATGTAAATGTAAAAAGTATCAAATTTTCGACAAATTCTACTACTTTATTTATAATTGTAACAAATGACGCCCGCGCCAATTCAGTGTTACGGATAAAATTGGATATCTGGTATTTCGTTTTCCGGAGTCAAGCCCAGGACCCAACATACGAACAAGTATTGATTTGCCACTGTAGACCTGTGGCCAGTTAACCTAGTTTGTTAAATCAAATACTTTGTTGCCTTGTTGTATTGATATTTATAGATGTAGTACGAAAGTAAGCATTTTAGTGTGCATTGTTAATTTGATTTTTCTTACAAACATTTCATGGTGCAAGCAAAAAGCACTGGGGACCAGGTCGGTAACCCAAAGTGTTTCAAATTGCTACAAGTTTACAACGAAATTCCAGCCTCGTCGCCAGGCTCCAACTCAGACCATTTCTCACGAAAAAACGCAGCAAATCAAATCACCAGGGGACGAGGTTGACGAAATTCTCTGTAAGTGTCACATTTGCAGTTTCTTTGTGTTCTTTGTATTTCACGTCCAAATGTGTTTAAGGAGGTAATATTATACCAAATAATATAGGAAAGAAACTCCGAGCAGAAGTTCCATTCAGAAACGTAATATTCACCAGTGATATTTCAAATTTATGTCAAATTGATCATCAGACATGCACATCAGATACATCAGCTGGAATTGGTGCAGTGATTATCTTGGGCCTACGAACTTTTCAGCAGTTAAACACAGCTGTTTTTCGAGAAGAAATCACACATCAGGTGTGTTTCGGATACAGCTGCTATACAATTACAGCGCAATCTTCACTACAATGTCAAAGTGTACAAAGATCTTTTAATCCCATAATCACTTTTAAGTGTGAGGCAGTGAGGCACCCAAAACATGCGAGTCACTCGTGAATACTTCAGCTATAGCCATGTTTCGCGGAGAAGTTTCTATTAGATCAAATATGTGCGAGCATTTTGTACTGCATTTATGTCAATCATTTGAAGTCATGCATATAAAGTACAGAAAAAATGTTGAAGATCATAGCTAGCCATTTTCATATCTCAAAATCAACAACGTGTTTTACTAAAAGCTAGCGTAGTTAGTCATTAATGCAGTATTAAACTTCTTCTGTTATGCGTGCTTTTACGCTATTTTGGCTAACTTAGTCAACTTCGCAGGGGGTCGTGAAGCATTATATGCCAAATGATTCCCACCAATAATTTCGCTGAAATTAATGAGAAAACTTTATGAGCGTTCAGGTATACGACATAAACACTTTATTTTAATATTTATAAACATCGCCTGTTATTCTCAGTGGTGCCTAAATTACTTTGAATTTGTACTCGAGTAAAAGTAGAAGTAATTAACAACAAAACGACTTGAGTAAGAGTAAAAAGTACTGGAGGCAAAACGTACTTAAGTAAAAAGTACAAAGTACAAAGTATCCTTAAAAAATACTTGAAGTAAAAAGTAAAAGTACTATTGTCTTTAGCGTGTAGAGGGGAGAGGGACTTCTCCCATGGATTGACATACAAAAGACACAAAACAGCACACGCATTATATGCGCGCACCATATAATACAATATTTGACGGGCATGGTCGACTTTCCAGACCCCGTTGAAGATATAACAAATCCATTAAATAAATAACGCTTATAAGTATGTCACAAACGAGAGATCCCAGACGCAAATAAATCCGGAATAAGTCACGTAAAATTAAACAAAAGTTAGAAAGTAACGAAATACTTACGAAGTAAAAATAACGAAGTAAAACGTTACTTCTTAAAATGATTTCGTTCCAAGTAAAAGTACTGCAGAAAAAGTTTACTTTGTTACATGCTGACTTCTCAAAAAAAGTACTCAAGTACAGTAACGAAGTACATTTACTTCGTTACTTGACACCACTGGTTATTCTGTTACGCTCTGTGCTGAAGTGTACCATATTTTATGTAATTCGTATCAATTAAACTGACGCCAAATAATATATTTTTAAACAAGAACAACAAAACGGCTGCAACTTGCAATAAAGTTTGAAATGTTATTGTCGGTGTTGTTTTCCAAATCATTCCATAAGTTATCTATATAATTGACATGCTCTGAAATTGGTCTTTGTTGAACGTGGCTGCAAATTAAGCACCGGTGAACTTTAAATGTGCAATGTATGTGGTCATTTTGTATGGTTTTGAAATTCTTTGATTATGATCAGTGATTGCGGCGAATTTGTTTATGTGCCAATTTTACTCATTGATAATTCCTTATTGAATGTTTCTAATAGAACTAATGAATTCGCAAACCGTAACGGATTCGACGTTTGGTATTATGATCTCACTAATAAGTTAATTCTATAAGTTATAGTCATGTCAAATTCATTTATTTAATAAGTAGTAATAGGCATTTGGTTTTCCTCACGCTTTCTCCCGAATATGTAATTATATTGTTAAGGTAATATATTTATTCGCACAGCAGAATAGTTTCAACTTGGTATGCGAGTTTCTCCAATAAAACACCAGGGGCTTTTTGTGCAAGAAGTTAGTTTAGATATAGTTTTCTTATGAAGAAAATGAGAGGTCGACATGAGACTTTAAATACAACCATACACACAAATATGTATAAACGTTTTATTGACAGTGACGTTTCGTCTTAACTGTAACAATGACAAGGATTATAACAAAATTAAGTGACTTTTTTAAAAGATATATATTAGCAAACAAGGAAATGAGAGTAGGAGCAGGAAATAGAGTATGAAAGAGGAACAGGAAGTTTTGAGAATTAAAAGGTGCAAAAGAATGCTTTCGTGAATGTGTGATACTCCTCTTATTGTCAGGTAAGGTGGGAAAACCTAGGTGTTTCGGTGAGTCAATGACGGACCATTTGGCCTACGACGCGGTACAGCATCGTAGTATTGTGGTTAAAAGTACTAAAGGGTTTTCTATACAACTGGCCCCTGGTATAGACCATGCAATTTGAAATTGCCTTTCCTGGTGACATTGCAGTCATATTAATAAAATTGTGGAAGTCCTAAATGTTATATTTTCAGGTATCGTGCGGCTTTAAGTCGTGAGTTATTGATATTGTGGATGGAAAACAAATTCATTAAACACACGTCAAAGAGTTTTTTGTATTAATGTCTGTAAAAACGCGGAAACACTTGCGGAAACTTACCGCCAATAGCGACGAAAAGCACAGCAGTTCCAAGAAGGACTGATATGATAAACTGTTTCATTCTTAAAATAACAGGATAAGCACAACCAATTGTCCCTGTCTCTTTCAAATACAGTTATAGTTTAACTTTCAGATCAGATTTAACTTTTAGCGAGTGAAGCGACAGTCTCTATTCTGCCGCATTTAAAGTAATCTTTGATTTAATCACGCAGTAATGTAGACAATATAGAAAATATTTGCCGGGCAATTACACTTGCCCACGCAAATACGTCGGCAACAATGCTATGTATTTATTTAACAATGTATTTATTCCATAAGAACGTTGAAAAGAATGCAATTTTCAGTAAAGTGAAAAGACTTGTATCAAATTTGGACTTCAAATTGGAAAAGTTTAAAGAGGATTTTAAACAAGAAACTTTGGTTTGCTTTGTTCGTAAACCGTAGGAGGTAAGGTTACCTATACCTATTTCCGATCGGAAGGCGATTCCGGTCAGTAGACAATGAGGCAGTTAATGTATCTGGTAGTTAGCATCCATGTGGCTGCATATACATTGTATTTCACACATTATTTTCTTGTATGGATTTATTACGCTCTCCCTTCATCAGCCTTCAATTAAAGCAATCCAGCGTTCAATAAGCGCTTGGCTAATTAGAAATGCTTCAATGTCGAAGGTGAACACGATCCTATCTCATTGTAGTAAAAATACGTGGTAATGTGGAAATCTCAGTACGTTGTTTCAAAGAGCGCAGTCTAACAAATTTTCTAATAATTAAAAATAAGTGTTATTGGAGCAGGAAACACGCATCAGCCGCCATGTTTTGGATACAGTTGCCATACAATTACCGCAATTAACATTTTTAAGGACTAATTGGCAAAAAGATCTTTATATCCCATAATCGCTTAATGTGTTAATAATAGTAAACCACTTCAAAAACGATTAAATTTTGAATGAAATTGAGAAATTTGGAAATAGCTATAGTATCGACGTAAAGTATGGTAGACGTAGATCTGGAAGAAGCTTGGAATAAATGCAAATTTTCTTACGGCCTGTCAATGATTTCGTTCGTGTATAAGATGCCCTGTACTGTACCGTAAGTACAGGCTGTTAAGGCTGATAAATATTGCTGCATGAATATAGAGCTGAGACCGGATTTAAACACTTTGATAACGATTAAGTTTTGAATGAAATTGAGAGATTTGGAAATAGCTAGTATATATCAGTGTAAGGTACCTGTACAGTTAGACCTGAAGTACACTTAGATCTGGAAAAAGTGTGATCTCGGCATGATGAAAAATGTTTGCCGTTGAGAGAAGCCGGATTGAGCAACATTTTTAATATTTCCGACACAAAGATTAAAGAAAATCTCAGAGAATCACTATATCTCACTTCCCTCTGTCATTTTAGACACGTAACACAAATATACAATCAACGTATACTTTGTTGTTGACAACATAATGGCGCCAAAATTTGAAAACAACAAATTCATGATCGGATCAGGTCTGTGTAGACTGATTAGTATGCAATTTCAAGTGCAATTTAAAATACCGAGCTAGAGCCTAGAACTAGTAACATTTGTTTTGAATTACAAGTACGAGCTTGCTTAAAAGCCAACCCTACATAAATACCATTTATTTAGAAAACCGTCTCAGCCATTCCCAAATGAAATAGTTCCCTTAATTATAAAAAGCACAGAATTTACCATGCACCACCGATGCTACTGAAATTCACTAGGGGGATACTACATTAGTCTTTGTGTTAGTGCAGCAACGTTTCAGACGATGCGTCGCTACTCTGGCAACATGTGAGTACATCAATGAAGATCTTCCCAGGGACGGCAAAAATTATTTAACCATGTACCCCTCCCTTCCCAATTACGACGAATATACACATATGTGAAACTTCGAGACAAATTGCGTTATTCAGGAAACTTTTGAAAGAAATATTTTTAAATCGAACTGATCGAATCAGTGCAGGTAAAACAGCATAAACATTGATTGTTAACCATGATTAACATTGATGGTAAAAATGATTGTTAACAATTATATTCCCATTACAAGGAATAAGACCTCTTGGGACAATGAGACAAACAGGCGTCACTACTAGTCACTTTTAGTATATTTTTGGCCCATACGGAAACCACTTAAGGACAGGTAATGATAATTGCCCAATTCTATTGTCCATAAGATTAAAATGCTATTCTCGAAAAAGAAAGAAAGAAAGATGGCATTACAACAACAGTAGTCACACGTGCATATTATAGTCGGTGTATAGCGTGTCCACAAATATGCTTTGATCATGAAACAACCGTCAATATTTGTGTTCTTGAAATATTTGTGCGAAATATTTGAGTTAAAGAATCCTTAAAAGGAAATAGCAACAAGACGTTTCTCATATTTCGAAGGGAGATTCATTATATTTGAAAACCTTTATTAGGTATAAAATATATTAATTATACCATTCATTTCAAACAAATTAATTACTCATTCCGCCATCTTGGATATGTACAGAAAATCCATCGTCAGATAAGTCATTTTCTATCTTCAGCAATTCTCGGGTCATTTCAATGCTAAATCCTACATTTTTATTACTGTAAATTTAAATTCAAGCACGATCTACGTATACCCCTTTGACTGAGATTTTTTGTTTAAAACGCATCTATTTAGGTCCAATTATAATACATATATTTTTTTATTTTTCTACCGCTTGCCCTACATTTTGTGCGTTTTATAAACAGATTTTTGGATATACAGCGTTACATTAGACTGTAGATAGACTGAATCTTCAGTTAAGTACTTGCATAGTTATATAAATAGTACAACTCGGTCACTAACTTATTTAGCTTAGCCTTCCAACAACTCAAATCTATAGGATCTGGGATATGCTATCCACTTGGAAAAGGTATTTATATACAAGACAATGTTTAGCATTTTTAAAAAGACATTGAATCATTTGAAGATAAAAGACAAGACATAGAATTCACAAAGCAAACTTCAGTTACTAACAAATCAAAGTCCCTTTTGTACAAATAGAACCTTTAACCCCAGTCAAAGTCCCTTTTGTACAAATAGAACCTTTAACCTTTTTAGGTTACAAAGTCAGTAATCATTAAATAAATTCAATGTCAAAATTAAATAGGAGCAAAACATTGGAAAAAAAAAATAGAATTTAAAAGGGTTTAAATTCTATTTTTCTTCCAGTGTTTTGCTCCTATTTAATTTTGACATTGAATTGATTTAATGATTACTGACTTTGTAACCCAAAAAGGTTAAAGGTTCTATCTGTACAAAAGGGACTTTGACTGGGGGACCAATATGTGTGAATGCCCCCTCCCCCATTTACATAGTTAAACGAGGATAGAATTGAAATGTGAATGCTGATCTGCATGGATGCTTGGGTAATTCGTGTGAGACATACATATGAGAAGAGATGAGCTAGGGAGATCTATTCAAGGTAGCGCGCAGATACGTCCTATAGAAGCATAATGAATGGTTGGGAGACAAAGAATGAGATGATGTGATACTTATCATTTATGGACCTGGAGAGAGGGAATTGATTGACTCGGGAAATTTCATCACTTTGGGTAATATTTCGCCAAATCCGCCCTATCTATAAATGACCGCAAGTTAAAGAACCATGCAAAGTTGAGGATGAACTTGCTGAATAGCTATGAGTAAATGCAATGTTTAATTTTTGACGTTGTCCTTTGGATCATTGGAGCTGACATACCTCATAATATTCCCGCGTAAATCTTCAGTTACAACAAGAAGTCCTTACGATTGAGAAACCTCGAGAACACCATTTTTCATGGCTATGTTAAGCACGTGGTTTCCATAGGAAACTTAGACAACGTTGTGGAGGCGGCGTGATTCCGAACAAACTGACAACCTAGCAATCCAAAAAACTAAGATACTCGCGGGCAGAATATAAAGCAGTGCTAAACTTGCAATTAGTTAATTTACGAATTAGTTTCAGCACGTGGGAAGAGCAACCCTTGACTCTTCCTGTCTCTCCAGAGTCGCATAGCGGGACAAGATCTTTCCCTCCAAACGTCGGTCCAGTTGTCTCTGTCGTACTTAATCCATTCTCCCGAAATTAACGCAACAAACGCCGATTTTATGTAGAACCTAATATAGCTATTACGTTTGGCGCACGAGAAGAGCCACGTTTGTTCCAGACCCTATCAACTTGAGGTATGACGTAACTTTCCAACAAAGTGATTACGGTGTATAGCTACCATGCATAATTTCTGTTCAAAGCTTGAAGTAATGTGTTAATTAGTACGCCTAGGAATGATTTATCATATTCAAAATGCGAGGGCGCAACTCGATTTTTTGAAATATGATAAAAGCACGATTGAAAGTTCTTCAAGTTCCTTCAGACACGACTGCAATAGATAAGAGAACCTGGCTATAGACAGATCGGGGAGGACCCTCATACAACCTGTTTTCTTTACAAAATACTTCAGTGGACCTTCGGAACATTGCTGAAAGTGGAGAAGCGATGCCCGCGCCCGAATAGGGAATGGAAGAACTGAATATTCTTCGCTGTATTTTAAAGTGCAAAGTTATTATATATTAAATATTGATTTCATGATTCCCCCGTTACACGGTTTGAAAAAGTTGTTGTGGGTGGTTAGGTTTTATACTCGGTTAGCTTTTTAGTTACTTCAGGAAGCCAGTATCCTTCAAAATAGGTAAAATATTCTTCTAAATAGACCATAGAGGTTACGAAATAAAGTTGTTGTTGTTGTTGTAACCGGTTGATGATGAGATTTTCCCATAGAATCGGCAAGAAATGCCATTTAATAGGTTTTAGTTTCGAAGTTTTCTGGGGAAACTTGGAACGAAATAGATCAGGTTTGCATGGCCTGCTCCTCGTCACTCAATCAATGGGGGAAGTGATTGGAAATACAGTAAATGGGGGTAGCAGCGCAAGGGCGCCTGATGCAACGCGAAGAGTCGGGGGTAGCCATTTGAAAAGGACGCTTACTTTTGAGTCTTTTTGGGCGGCAATGTTCCTCAAAATCTTGCTGTACGGACACTTGATTATATACTTGTAG